GGGGGGGGATTCCTTATTTAAATACAGCCTGGGTCTGAGGCAGGGCTTGGACTGCAGTAATTGTATGTGATAGACGTCCTGCCTTTAAAAGCCCCGAGGGACTGATTAGGTGAGAAAGCAGACTGTGGCTTAATTACAGCTGATAGCACCGTTGGTAAGCATCTCAGAATAGGCTGCATACATTGTCGATAAAGCAGATTAATGGGTAAGGGTGAGGGCTTTTGTGCAGCCCCTTTCGATAAAGTGACACAGTGGTGGGTCTTTATGTGCCGTGTGTTTTCACCATTTAAAAAAATTGAACGGACAATGGAATAATGGAGGCTTGTTGACCATTATCAGCAGCATAATATGACTGTTTTCTATAAACAGCCCTATGATAGACAGTGTAGCACACATTTTGTGAATTTGGCATCATCTTGTGGCTAATATTGGAAAATGCAATATCTGATTATCTGATTAGCTTCCAGCTACTATACCTGCAGTTGGGATTTTCTTGTCTGAGTTATTTCAGTTAGTTTTTTTTTTATTTGTTTTTATTTCAAAGTTATGTTTTCAGTTTAGTTTCCTTTAGTTTCAAGTGAAGGGTTTTTTTTTTTTTTAGATTATCTTTACTTTCATATTTTTATTAGAATTAAATTTCATCAAAATTCATTCAAATTCTATATATTTGATCTCATTTTATTATTAAGTCCAGTAAGTTTTTATTGCCAAAGACATGCAGCTTGTGGGGATAGGTTAATTGATAAATCCAAATTGCCACTAGGTGTGAATGTGAGTGTGAATGTGAGTGTGAATGGTTGTCTGTCCCTGTGTGTTGGCCCTGCGACAGACTGGCGACCTGTCCAGGGTGTACCCCGCCTCTCGCCCTATGACAGCTGGGATAGGCTCCAGCGCCCCCCGCGACCCTGAAAAGGATAAGCGGAAGCGAATGGATGGAAGTTTTTATTGCACTTAACTGAAATTTCGTGTCTGGTTCAAATTTTAGACTGTGTAGTTGTGAAGTTGTCTGCGCAGTCATGACCACTGCGGGCAGTAGATGGCGCTGTAGCAGCACTAGAAACTATCATGCTGTGTTCAAAGACATCACAATATTAATCCTTAGTGATAAATTCAACCCAAGTTTCGAGGTGTGTCATGGACTGTTAATTGTTTTAACTTCTTAGTTGAACATTTAGAAACAATGTTTAAGTCTTGGTTAGAAAGAAGAGCCTGTCTTGTGTCACCTGGGAGACTTGTGTAGCTGTGTGCGTGGCATAGACGGTATAGTTGTATAGACAGTGAACGCATCACAGCCAGCCTGTTGTCAGGCGAACCGCCGCTAACCTTACCACCCGCCTGCGGCTAAGTTAGACTGTATCCTGGGTCTGGCATCGCTTTCCCTACGACTGGAGAGTAAGACGAGCATCACCACTCTCTCACGGTAAATATTGCCCAACGCATCAGCTACTCGTACGAAACTTAAAGTAGGTTAGCGTGGTGTTGCTAGCTACCAGTCAGACGAATGACAATGACAACCTGTTGTCTGAACCGGGTCATTTGGGGGAATTTAGAAGCCGGTATGCTCCTTTACGTAATTAATATCAAAAGTGGCTCACTACCACTTCGCTAGCATCAACATGCACCGCTTTCAAAAAAGCCCCATTAAACTCCAAGAGTGCCTGTAAATAAACTGAATGACCACGTATGTCCGAACTTAGCATTAGCATCAGTGCTAGCCATTGTTTTGGCTGTAGGAGCGTGGGCTCTTCTCTCATACCCACTCGGCGCTTTTATTGTTGGATGTTAATTCGCATTTAGCGATGACCCACGATTAACTAATCATGTCTTGCACTGAGCAATAGATTACTCTGCTTGTAGCAGAGTACTTCCTCAGTGGCTTCAAAAACGTGGTCACTGCCACTGTCACTGTGACAGATGGCAGTGAAGTGCATCTGCAACATGAGTCCAACTCAGGAAGCAAAATCCATCAAATCCAAAGTTCAATATAAGTTAGAGGTGTTGGAATAACTTATTTGCGTGTAATATTCACGGGCATTTATTCATTGTGTCATAAAAGTGTTGGTTAAATTGTGTATTTTAGCACTAACATATATCAATTGAACACAATATACTCCATGTCCATAAAAACAACAACAACAACAACAACAACAACAAACATATTAATAATAATAAAGATTAGACTTAAAAATGTTCTTTTTCATAAAGGTTATATTTAGGGCTGGATCAGCTATCACTGCCGTATTCCTTAGTGATGCTGCAACAGGCCCAGACTGCTGTAGGACCTCATGTGATAAACTCAGCACTTCTTCTTCACTCACCTCTTTTCACTCCCCAAATTTTTATATAGTGCTTGTCCTTAAATTTGTGTGTTCTCTCTCCCATAGTGTACCTTTTGTCCTGTCTCCCTCAGACTGTCACAAAAGTGTTTGCTCATAGTTGCTTGATTGCTCCAATACTGTAGGGTCTTATCTTACAGTACCTTGAGCCAAACGTTATCGCTATGTAAATAAATCAGAATCGAAGTAATAATCTGCTCGTGTATGCGGAAGGGAGGACAAAAACAAGAAGCTGTTCTCAGTTTGATGCCGTTTAGTGCTTCAGAATAAGACTGGATCGTGTTGTAAAAAGTGCCCTCTTTCATTGAAAACAAAACAAAACAAAAAAACTGCATTAGATTAGCTTCTGCTTAATGAGCTGTAACCACACCAATGCACTAATAATTTAGCTTCTTAGTTTATTTTTTCATTTATACTTAAGGTAAACACGAATACAGACATGTTGCCTGCATCTTTCGGCTTTTCCTTTTAGTAGATGCCTTTGTCACACCCAACCCTCTGCACGTTCTCCTTCGCTACTTCATGAATCTACTCTGTGGCATTCCTGTTTTCTTGTTCCCGGGTAGCTCCATCTTTAACATAATTTTTCCCTCCTCTGCATATGTCCAAACCATCTCAGGCTTGCCTGTCTATCTCTGTCTCCAAACCGCTAAAACTCAGATGTACTGATGTGCTCATTGCTAATCTGGTCCATTCTGGTCACTCCCAATGAAAACCTTAACATCTTCAGCTCTGCCTTCTATCTTTTAATTATCGCCACTAAACCGTACATCATCGCAGGACTCACTGCATATTGTGAACCTTCCCTTTCACTCTTACTAATAAAAGCTATTTGAATTCTGAAATGTGATTATCTAAGTAAAACTTCATCACAGGGTTTGTTCTTGTACAAGGTGGTGGTTTTAATATAATGAAAGCTGTACTTCCTCCACCTCTGTTAACTTACACTCCAGAATAGTTTTGTGGTCCTCGGGTCT